TCCTTTTGCTTGCCAGGAATAATACCCAAGTTTGGAGCTGTAAGCTGTAATAAAGTGCACAGTTTTTGGGAAGATTTAGCAAACAAAAACATGTTTCAGCTGCCTTGGTTTCTGAACTGATTACAAGCGCTGTCTTTTTACATGTTTTCTGTTAAAATACCAGGTTTAGCTCAACCACCAGACACTTAATAAATGCAACCAGCGCCCTCTGCAGTGCGTCCAATACATAACCATGCCAAATCAACCCTCTGATCAGGACGCTGACTGTGTGATGACAATTTTTAAAATTTTACTCTGGGATGTGGGCATCACTGGCAGGGCCAGCATTTATTGCCCATCTCTAGTTGCCCTTTGAGAAGGTGCTGGTGAGTTGCCTTCTTGAACCGCTGCAGTTCATGCACTGTACACAGATCCACATGTTGTTAGGGAGGGAATTCCACGATTTTGACCCAGTGACAGTGAAGTAACAGCGATTATATTTCCAAGTCAGGACAGTGAGTGGCTTGGAGAGGAAATTGCAAGTGGTGACGTTCCTATATATCTGTTGTCCTCGTCCTTCTAGATGGAAGTAGCTGTGGGATTGAAAGGTGCTGTCTAAGGACCTTGGTGAATTTCTACAGTGCATCTTATAGATAATACACACTGCTGCTACTAAGCGTCAGTAGTGGAGGGAGTGGGTGCTTATGGATCCATGTGGACTGCGGTGGTTCAAAGCGGCAGCTCACCACCACCTTCTCAAGGGCAACTAGGGACGGCAATAAAATGCTGGCCAGCCAGTGACATCCACATCTCATGAGTGAAAAAAAAGGAAGTGGGGCCAATCAAACAAGCTGCTTTGTGCTGGATGGTGCTGAGCTTCTTAAATGTTGTTGGAGCTGCACCTATCCAGGCAAGTTGGGAGTATTCCATCACACAGTTGACTTGTGCCTTGTAGACGGTGGACAGGCTTTGGGAGTCAGAAGGTGAGTTACCCACTGCAGGGCTCCTAGCCTCTGAACTGCTCTTATAGCGACTGTGTTTATATGGCACATCCAGTTCAGCTTCTGGTCATAAGACAACACATATGCAAAACCCCTTCTTGTCATTCATTTTTTCATTAGATGTCAATGCCACTAGAAAAGGCAGCGTTTGTTGTCCATTCCTAATTGCAGTTGACGGCAGTTAGGTGTCAACTATGATAACAACAAAACTGAGGAGGCAATGGCCTAGAGGTATTATCGCTGGACTTCTAGTCTAGAGACCCAGGTAACATTCTGGGGACCCAGGTTCGAATCCCGCCACAGCAAATGATGGAATTTGAATTCAATAAAAAAATATCTGGAATTAGGAATCTAAAGATGACCAATTGTCAGGAAAAACCCATCTGATTCACTAATGCCCTTTAGGGAAGGAAACTGCCATCCTTACCTGGTCTGGCCTACATGTGACTCTAGACCCACAACAATGTGGGTGACTCTTAGCTGCCCTCTCGGCAATTATGGATGGGCAATGAATGCTACCTAGCCAGTGATGTCCTCACCCCATGAATGAATAAAAAAAGAGTCTAGAGTCACATTTAGGCCAGACCAGGCAAGATGGCAGATTTCCTTCCCTAAAGAGATGAGTGAATCAAATGGACTTCAATAATAATTGATTGATTCACAGTCACCATATGGTGACTAGATTTTCCATCTCCAGCTTTGCTATTTGGAACTAAATTCCACCAGCTGCTATAGGAGATTTAAGCCCGTTTTGCCTGATGCTATTCCAGTGATATGACTATAATGCCACTGTCTTGCCTTAAATATCTCCCCTGGCATTTATATGGTGCCTTCATTCCTGCAAGGTTCGAGACGGCTAATGCAAAATCAGTTAAAAACTGCCACAGTCCTAGTAGGAGAGACTGTGATAGGGGTCTGAGAGATGTTGGCATTGGTGAGATGTGTGATAGAATTAGACAAAAAAAATCTGGCAAGATCCATCCCAACTTGGTGATCATATCACTCCATCTTTCACACCTTCCACAAGCAACGTGGTGAGATTCTCACCATGCAGCGGAGAGATGCCAATTGACAGGATTAATGCCTGCCAATGCCACAACTCTCCTCATTGAGGACTCTGGGTCTGTACATGATGGAGTTTATTAGGATTGGGCGGGGAGTCTCATTGAAACTTACAGAATACTGACAGGCCTGGATAGGGCGGACGTAGGAAAGGTGTTTCCACTAGTAGGAGAAAGACTACGACCCAAGGGCACAGCCACAGACCCTTTTGAACTGAAATGAGGGGGAATCTGTGGAAGTCATTGCCACAGAGGGCTGGGGAGACCAAGTTATTGATTGTCTTTAAGACAGAGATAGATAGGTTCTTGATTTGTAAGGGGATCAAGGGTTACAGGGAGAAGGCAGGAGAACGAGTTTGACAATAATATTAACCATGACCTAATGGTGGATCAGACTCAATGGGCTGAATGGGATAATTCTGCTCCTATATCTTACGGTCATTAATATTCAGTCCCCTCTGTCTTACCAAACTCACCAGACAAGCTCAGCGTTGAAAAAATTTGAGAAAGAAATCAGACTGTGTAGCCAGTAGATTCAGGCTGCTGTTTGCTCTGAACAACATTTGAGGTGCCTATGAGCCCAGGACATGATGAATGGGCATTAGGCATTCACACCCCTTGCACACAGACATTGGCATCTGGTACCTGCTGTCCCAGTCTGACCATTTTGGCACTTCTACTGTTAACTGGCAGTGCACTGCGGAAGAACATAGCAGGACATATAAGTGACGAAAAGTGGACAGGACAGCTTCCAACTCGCAGAGTGGACTAGGCTACATCTCAGGGCTGCTCCCTTGCTCTCTCTGCCAGCAGCCAGCAGACTGCACAGGGAGCAAGCTACGGCTCTGTTTCAATGTCTTAGGTGAGTAGTCCTCACTGAAGTCCATGGAAGAACCAATCAGGCACATTAATCCAATACTAGTCCAGGATATTGACCAAGGTGAGGTGGCAAATTGGGCTGTTCCAGTTCAGGGAGTTTGTGCCTCTATAATAACGGGTGTGGGTCCATTAGCTCCATTGCAGTAAGAACAAGGATTAGGGCTGATGTGGTCAGAGAGATATAGGGGCAGCAGGCAGAGGTCTGCCTACATCTTAACCCCAGACTGTCCTGTCTTATCACATAAGGGGGTTGGCCATGTCATCCATCAAGTCTGTTCACGGACACTAATGCGTGTATGTGTGTGTGTGTGTGTGTGTGTGTTTGACTGTGTTTACATGTATATTTATGTGTGCGTACCTGATCCCCAACCCCCTGTATCTGACCCTATACCTGGTGCCTGATCCTGTACCTGATTCCCACCCCCTGTACCTGACTCTATACCTGACCTGACTGCCTGTACGTGACCCTACTCCCTGTACCTAATCCCCCACCCCGTTACTGATCCTAACCCTTACCTGACCCTGTACCTGACTCAATATAGTGTGGAGCTGGAGGAACACAGCAGGTCAGGCAGCATTAGAGGAGCAGGAGAATCGATGTTTTGGGCCTACACCCTTGATCAGGATTGGGGAGGGGGAAGGGAGCTGGGAAATAAATAGGGGGAAGAGGGGTGGGGTTGGGGGAAGGTAGGTGGGATGGTGATAGGTGGATGCAGGTAGGGGTAGTGGGGATTGATCAATGGGAAGGTGGATAGGAGGGGAAGAAGATGGACAGGTAGTGTCAAGTCAAGGAGTTGGGGATGAGAGGATGGGTCAGACCCCACCATACCCAGCTCACTTCCGCCACCTGCAATCTGACCCCACCACCAAGGAGATATTTCCCTCCACCTACCTATCTGCCTTTCATAGGGACTGCTTACTCCGCGACTCCTTCATCCACTCCACACCTCACACCAACTCCAAACAGCCGACACCTTTCCCTGCAACCGCAGGAGGTGCTACACCTGCCCCTACACCTCCCCTCTCACCTCCATCCCAGGCCCAAGACAAACTCTCCATATGCGACAGGGGTTTTCCTGTACATCCTCCAACCTCAAATACTGTATCCGTTACTCACCATGTGGCATCCTCTACATCGGTGAGACCAAATGTAGACTTGGTGACAGATCTGCGGAACACCTGCGGTCCATACGCTACAATCAACAACACCTTCTGGTCGTCAACCATTTTAACTCTCCCTCCCATTCACTTGATGACATGTCCATCCTAGGCCTCTTCCAGTGCCACAATGACGCCACCCGCAAACTGGAAGAGCAACACCTCATATTTCACCTCAGGAGCCTACAGCCTGATGGCCTGAACAGAGAATTCAACAGTTTTAAAATCTCCCCACACCCGGCCCATCCCATGTCCGACCCTCCCTCCCATCCCTTCCTCCTTGACCTGACACTACCTGTCCATCTCCTTCCCCACCTATCTGCCCCACCCTTCCCACTGACCAATTCCCACTACCCATACCAGCATCCACCTATTGCCAACCCACCTACCCTCCCCCAGCCCCACCCGTCTTCCCTCTATTGACTTCTCAGCTCCCTTGCCCCTCCCCAGTCCTGCTCCTCTGATGCTGCCTGACCTGCTGTGTTCCTCCAGCTCCACACTGTGTTGTCTCTGACTCCAGCATCTGCAGTTCTTGCTAGCTACTTGTACCTGGCCCTGTACCTGACCACATCCATTCTCCCTGCCCACCTCTCCCTGGGCACACCCTCCTCCCCGGAACCACTTCCAACCCATGCCATACCCCTGAACCCTCCCCTCCCACCTGCCCAACGCTCTCGTCCTGCCCTCTTTCCCTGGCTCCCCACTCTCCTTGACCTTTCCCCAACCTTGTCCCCTCTCCACAGACCCCAAAGGCCCCACCCCACCCACTTGGCTTCGCCCCTCCCCTGCATCCCCATCTTGGCCCCGCCCCACGCTTGGCCCCGCCCCATCTACCGTCATCAACAACACTTGTCCCGCCCCCTCGCACCTGGCCCCGCCCCCACGCCTGGCCCCTCCCCTCCCGTCCCCACCCCACCCCTCCCCTCATGGCCGAGCCCTCCCACTCCCCTCCCCTCCTGGCCCCGCCCCTCCCCTCCCCCTCCTCCTGCGGTAAGATGGCGGACTGGGTGGATTCGCTTTTTGACTCTCGATCCTTCCCGTGCTGTGGGCTCCAGGAGTTCAGCGTGAGTGTTTTCGCCTCGTGTTGATGTTAGCCCTCTCAGCTCCCGGTGTCGGGGAGCCCGGATCCGGAGGTGGGCCCTGGGCCTCGGAGTCGCGTTTGCCCGCTGCACGGTGCCGAGTGCACTGCCGCTGGCCCAGGCCCGCCACCCAGACCGGGGATCGGGGCCTGGTGGCTCCTAGGCCCCTGAGGCTGTTTCTATCAGTATTTACCGTCCACTTATTATCAATAGTTTCTCAGTGTGGTATTGCCAGTTGATTATTGTGTATTATTTTATGAAAAGGTTTGTAATTTGGGGAGTCGAAGAGGTCAAGGATGAGGGTAATTTAATCAACATGGAGTGGGGGTGGGGGCCCATGAAGCAGAGGCTGGATCGCATGGACAAACTGAACCTGGGTTGGAAGGTCATGATCTGAAAGAAATTAGAAGTGGAAATGGAGCAGGCCTTTGGGCATTGGAACAGGTTTGGACAAGGAGAAGCGATGGAGCTAACAAAATCCTGCTGTTGGTGGGACGTAGATTTGTAAACCCTTTAGCATATTAATGGGATCAGGTTGGGAGAATTAGTTGGGGAATCTAGAGGAGTGTTTAAAATAGGAGAACCAGATCAGATCAAGAGTAAAATTAGGGTGATGGGGAATTGAAATTCTCTTCTGCAAATGGCAATTAATGCTAGGTCACTTATCTGAAATTGATATTTTGCAAAGTAAAAGGTAAAGAAGAATGTTGAGGAAAAGTGACTATATGGTGTTAGATTGTTGATCAGCTTTGCAGTCTGAATTTACAACTGCTGGGCCCAGTGCTCAGAATAGAAAGAACAGACAGAGAGAGGATGGTTTAATGGGAAGCCTGTCAGACAAAAGGAATGGCTTTGCTCTTCAAGATAATCCTTAAATGATTATGATTAAACTGGTGGTTCATGGCTCATTGGTTAATTCAACCATGATCTAAACATGTTCAAATCAATATGGTCCTGAGATTGTGGAGTCCTAGAATAGTGGTGATGTTACTGGACTAGTAATCTAGAAGCCTGAATCATCTCAATACAAATCCTGTGGCAGTTGGGGAAAATAACTGAAATGGATTAAAATAAATCCTGAAAAGAAATTACTATCAGTAATTGTGTCAATGAAAGTCCATGCATTCTGTAAGAGCCCATCAGGTTTCCTTAATGTCTCTGATCTGGCCAATATGGGATTCCAGATCCACAGAATGAAGGACTTTTAACTGCCATCTTAAGTGGCCCATTCAAGAAGACAGCACATGATTACCATCTGGAGGGCTCTTAGGGATAGACACTGACTCCAATGACTGCATTCTGTGAATAAATTTAAAGCAAAAAGCATTGAATGGTAATGATGGTGACTGCGCCAAGGAGAACAGCTACATTGGGCGACAATGAAAATTTGGCTCGGGGCATGAACAACAAAGGAAGGGATGAGATAACAGGGTGGAGCTGGAGGGACACAGCAGGCCAGGCAGCATCAGAGGAGCAGGAGAGTTGATGTTCCGGGTCGGAACCCAGAAGGCTGACTCCAGCATCTGCAGTTCTTACTATCTCCAAAGGAAGGGATGAAACGGTTGAACAAATCAACAGTTGCAAAATTATGTAAATAATTAGCCAAAGTAGCTGTAGTGCTTGTTGCATTGTGTAATTAATAGTGTACGTGATTTTAGTATTGCTATTCAGTACAACGGTGTGAATGTAGTTATACTGTCGTTTGTATGCTACTGTGAAGTAATTTCGATTGAGAGTTGGAACACAAGTCTGATCATGGAGTATTTCTTCAAACCTCAGCACAGTGTCAAAAAATGTCTAATGCATATTTTGTAAGGGCTTTGTAGATTTGCTGCGACATCAATAAACCACATCAGTTTTTTTTGTATCTGTTAAGCAGCTCAGCACTCCACTCATATTTCCACAAAATTGCTGAGTAGGGAGCAGAACTTTGCCAAAGTGTGTCTGCTGTTTCGGACCATTAGCACAGTGACCCCAGCTTCAGGCACCCCTTGTTGAGCCAGGCTGAAGTTGAAATGTTTGATGGAAATGCAATGGAAAGAATAACATGTCACTTGTTACTCGGGCAGCCAAAGAAAAGTTTGCCATGTGGGCAGACCTTCCAACCCGATGAAAATTTTATGAAGGTAAAGATTCAGCCAAGTGTTAATGGTGTGAGGTGGAGTCCCATATGAGGTTTCATTGGCTTTCTTAATGTACCCGAGTACTCGCTGATCTCTGACAAACCGGTGTGATAGCAGTGCCAGTAAGATTAAGTATGAAGGAAGAAGCAAGAGAGAAATAGTAACGATTAATTCATGTGCTGGTTTGGAACATCCAAATAGATTTCTTCTAAATGGTGTTATGAATTTTGAGATAAATTAAGAAACTCTATTTTCATTGGCTGGTGAGTCAGTAACTAGTTTTTAGCATTGGAGAATGATGGGAGAAAATAAATCTAATATATTCTAGCCACTGTTATATCCTGTCAGTAACAGTGGGGAAAATAAACTGATGTTGAAGAGGAGATGGTGTAATATTTACATGATATGCAGAAGAGAAGAAGGTCATTCATTCCAACTGGTTCATGCTCCAAACAACAACACTGAAGGTGCTTGACTGTCCAGGACAAAGCAGCCCTCTTGATTGGCACCACATCAACAAACTTTCCCTCCCTCCACCACTGATGTTCAGGAGCAGTAACGTGTACCATTTAAAAGATGCTGGAGAAATTCACATAGATTCCTTGGATAGCACCTTTCAAATTCATGACCACTACCATCTAGAAGGGCAGGGATAGCAGATACACCATGACCTGAAAGTTCCCCTCACTCACCATTCCTTCAGTATCATTGGGATAAAATTCTGGAATTCCCTCCATGACGACATTGTGATTCTACATACTGCATATGGATCACAGTGGTTCAAGAAGGCCGCTCACCACCACCACCTTTGGGGCAATCAGAGATAGGCATTGTTGACTGGGCCAGCATTTATTGCCCATGTCCCACAAGAGAATAAAAAGTTGTACTCTCTCACTTTCGTTCACCTCATCTATCTTAGTCCATGGTCCATTATGCACTTTGCTTCAAATGCTTGTTAGTAAGTGTATTTTAATGACAGACCTATTTGTTCAGTTTCATTCCTGTAAGTCGGTAATGGAGACCAGCATTGTTTTGATGAGCCTTAAGGTTGCTTTGCCAAATCCAGTAATTTTTAGGGCAGTCAAAGGGCTAAATGACTCTCTATGAAGGGTGTGTCCATGTTTGGGACATTCACTGCCTCACATGATAAAAATTCAAAGCCAGTGTATGCCAGATCAGAAGAGGCTCATTGGTAGATTTGAAGGGTCATTTCGATCTCACAGTGTTCTGTGACGTTCTTGATAACTAATTCCGGGAGAATGCTGTTACTCCTGAGAGTGTACAAAAGTCAACTCCTAAGGTGGCTCCTTGCATCAAGCATGTTTACTTGTTCCAGAAAATTATAGAAGTACATTGTTTGCAGCAGGGGTGTAACTGGTAAGGTTGAGATCATTCAAAAGAACATAATCCAGAAGCTTAAAACTAACACTGATCACTTTATGATTTGGGCAAATGGTACAGCAACCTTTCACTGCAATATCAGACTAACAGTAGTGAGTTATGACAAGTTGTGAGATTAAATGAACTAAACCTAGCAATTTATGACCTTGAACCAAAGAACCGATGGCCATGAATTTGAATTAACTTTGTCACATGAGTACAGTGAAAAGTGTGCAAGTTGCCACTTACAGTGCCAACTTAGGTACAAAGGTACCTAGGTACAGATCCTTAAGTACAAATCCTTCGGTAAAAAGAAAATAAATAAATAAAAGTTCAGCTTACAGACCTTCAAAAGTACAAAACCATAGTAACAAATTGGAACAATAGAAGAATAAAATGTTCAAAGTAATAGCCCTTCTAAGATAGCATAATTTTAAAGAATCAACATCTCTTTAAAAAAAGAGAGTTTAAGACAGGCCATTTTAGTCTATTTCACAGCTCTGGACTTGAGGACCTGACGCACCCCGCCCCCAGTTGCAAGCTGGACCCACCACGATCAGACCAATGCCGAAACCAGCATGAGGTGACCCAGACCGACACTGATGAAAACCGCTGCCATACGGAGTCTAGGCCACCACTGAAGCCACCAAAAAGGAGTTCCAGGCCGGTCATTTGAATCCTGGACCTGGACCCATTTCATCTACAAAGTTGCTGCCGAAGCAGCCTGGTCAAATGACCCACCAAGATGCAGCCACGAGAAAGGGCTGGATCCACACCACATTCTCCACTGCAGCCGCCTCTTGGAATTTCCTTCTTTACCGGAAGCCACCAAAAGAAGGAAAGATGAACTTGTAATGATCTCTACCATCTGAAACGACCAGGGCAGTTGATGCATTGGGCGACCTTCAGCTACAGGTACACCTCCACGCCATTCAAGGTTGATGTAAACTTGAGAAGCAGGCATGAATAGAAATTACTGAAGCTAGATTCTGCTACTTATTCAGCTAACAGAGTTACAGATAAATAAAGAGCTAAATAAGAATAGCTGAATAATGAGTAAAAAGAGCGAGAATAACTTGTCTTGACATGACACCCTTCATCATGCTCTCAGAATGTCACAAAGCACAAGTCTTCTAAACTCCAATGAATGCAAGCTGAATCTGTCAAATCTTTCCTCATAAACCAGCCCCTTCATCCCAAAAATCAATCAAGTTAGCCTTCGATTAGACTGCATCTAATGCAGTTATGCTTTCCTTAAATAAGAAGACCAAAACAATGTGGAGTCAATCGAATACAGTTGCTGTTGTGCTGTCGGAGTGAGGCAGATGATTTGTACACCACCGGTTTCCACAAACCATAATGAGATGATGACCAAACTAATTTTTTTGGGGAGATTGGTTGAGAGTTAAGTTATACAGTAAGTAGAATTTTTCTGTTGCTTTTCTTTGAAATAGTGCCTTGGAATCTTTTGTGAATGACATGGCAACTTTTCTTTTTGGAATTATGTGATTCCTGTATTGTTTAATCTGATATCTTTTACTTTGAACCAGACAACAAAGTGCTACAGGATGTGCACACAGTACTGAAGCTTTCTAAAATATTAGTAGAAAGATATGGGCTAAATCATTATGATCTTGTCTGTACTGCTGGTGCTTGACTGGTGAACCAGGGTATGAAGGGAGGGAACAAACAGCCTCTATACCCTTTACACTTTGGTAAAACAGCCAATGAACAGAAGAGGGGAAAAACATAGTGGGTCAGAGGTACTGATGGTGTGACCTGAATGATCAAATTGTAAAGCATGCTATGTCCAGTACTTGTAAAGACTGCCTTCACCGTTTTAAAAAACGATGTCAGAATTTGAATGATGTTCCTAATATCAAGTGGAGAGAACTATCAATTCTCAGGCGTTATCTGCAAGTCAGTAATTTGATCCAGAAGTTTAGAATCATTCCCATGCACTTTATTTTAAATGATACATTGCTGGTGCAGTTTCATGGCTCAGATGGTGCCATGACGAATAATTCCTGGTGTATTGTGTAAAGTTACAATTCTGTTGCATTATCTTAAAAGTGGAAGGGCTGAAAACATCCAATCCAGTAGTTTATTTGGAAATAGCATATTTAGTATGGTATCAACACAGGCCATGTGTTCAAGATAACTATTGAAATAAGTCTTCTGTTCTTTGTATTTAACTTGGTAAACCTCTGCTGGTTTCTCCTTTTAAAATTCTTCATAAGTTGCACTCACAAATGTCTGCAATTAGTCTCTGCGTAACCGACAAGATAATGGCCTGGATTTTGGTTTGTAGTTTGAGCATCAGTTTCTATGTGTGGAGTTCAGTGTAGAAATCCAGAGAGTGCACAGGTGAATTACCAGGAAATGGAAACCTTTACAAATCATTTGAATTAACAAGGATATCCATCTTTTACACAATTAATCACACTCCAAATCCATTGAAAATGTTAACCTTGTTGAATGAGTTGTAAGTGGGGTCTTCAATGATGTACTAAATTCATAACTATTATTAAATAGCATCTATAGTCCTGTAAAACTAATTTTATGTTTGCAAGATGTGCATTTATTAAAAAGAATTAGAGCTTTGGAAATTTAAATTTATACTGTAATTTCATGTCTAGGTTCTAATCTTTATTTTGCTATAAGTAAAATAATTAAACATGTGAAAGATCATCGATGGTTTTTGCTTCATGTGTCCAGCCTGAGAATTTCTCTGTGTGATTAGTGGTTGTTGGTCACCAGAGATCCTTTAAGTTGACTCTGGAATCAAAGTTATGCCGTACAAAAGGAAATCCATCCACAGAAATAATTAAATCTCTGTGGACAGCTTTCTTCAACATTAGTGAATTTTCATCCCTTGTTCCCATACTGTGTCTTGCCTGTAAAAGGTACTTGCTCATTCATTTAATACTTCTGGTCACAGGATTTAATGGTTACTGTGCAGCTTAATTTTCAGGCTGCCATTCTAGCCTCTTGTACATCTGTTTTGATTGCTGCAACAAGGGTGGCTATGTCATCAGCCCATGCAGTTCAAGGGCAATTAGAGATGGGCAACTGATGCTGGTTGTGCCTATAACACCCACATACCATAGAAATATCAAAAAAAAATGAGCTTAAATATTCTCCCTAAATTTGTCAGACTCTCACTCATTCTTCCCTTAAGGTATTCCTTAACACCTAATCTGATGTGGCTCAATTTGAAATTTATCTCGATAGTGGCCCTTGTGAAGGGCCTTGGACTGGTTTTACTGCTTTAAAAATGCTCTATAAATGGAAATTGTTGTAATACTGCTTGGCTGCAATTCTTGTTATCTCTTGTGGAGTTATGCATAGTTTTAAGTTACACATGAAGACAATGGGATCAATGAGAGTTGTCTCCACAGCTGATGCCAGACCTGAGTTTTTACAACAATTTGTTTTTGTTGACAATAAGGGTTGTGTCACCTAACACTCGTATTATTGACCACTGCAGCTTCTTCCTGGCCACAGCAAGTTGACGGAGAGAGTGAAAAAGCGACTCTACTACGGTCGAGACATGGACTACAACATGGATGCTCTGTCCTGTCCTGTTACCGGTATGTGTATGCGTTATAATGCATATGGTTGGACTTTGATTTTTCTTTGATATTTGAAACTTCCAAAAACATCAACAGTGAGAAGATTTCACAGTGTTGGCTGATGCATAAGGGCCGTAGGACGCCTATTTGAGCCATATTATCCAAGTTTACATGGGGTATTGTTGGATGTTGTGGTTGTATCTTTAGCTTTCTGACCGCAGCTTTCTCCTGTTGTCAGAACAAGGGCTGTCGTTCAGAGCCCATATTACCAATCAATTTCAGCCAGCATATTCAGATTTAAAACAAAATAGTGAAAGCCAGAGGTGCCAGTTTTCACACCCTGGTGATGCTGCTGTGAGTACTGTGGTGTAGATAACGCCTTGACATAAGAAAATATGATTTATGAGCAGAAATAGGCCATTTGCCAGATCTTATTGTGGCCTTTACATTCCAGTTTAAGCCCCATACTTTGTGACTGACTTGCCGGTCAGGATTCTACCAGTCATAAAAATATTGAAGTGAATTATACAGACTAACTACCCTCTGAGAGAAAAGAAATTCTGCCTTTTTTCCTGTCTTAAATGGAAGACCTCTTATTTGTATACTGTATCCCCTATTTCTAATCTCTCCCACAAGGGAAGACATTCTCACAGCATCCACCTTTCAAATTTCATCGTAATCCTTTATTCAGCATTTCATTCTTCAAAACTCTCAATATGGCCCAATATGTTTCCTCATAAGACAACTCCTTCATCCCAACTGTCAATCAAATAAACCTTCTGTGCAATGCATCTAATGCAGTTATGCCTTCCTTAAATAAGACCAAAACTGTCATATTTGGTCCCTCAGTAATGCCCTGTACTACTCAGGAAAGCCTTCCAATTATGCGCAAGTTCAGTGATAGAAATGCAGTATTTATATGTTCCCATAACCAATACGAAGTTATGCTTAGCTTAGGAAATGTGATAGTTGCTTCCAAATGGAGTTGACGTTTAATTTACCAGATCTGCAAATATGCATGTAGTCTAATCTTTTAAACACGTAAATAAAATTTGAATTTATAAATGTATCTCGCATTTATCAGACATTGTCATGCACTTGTCTGTCCTTGATTTGACTTTTGAAGTACAGTTTTGCTGTGCAGACAAACATTGCAGCCAACTGATTGTGCAGAAAAGATTAACAAAGGTGTTGCCAGGACTGGAGGATTTGAGCTATAGGCAGAGGCTGAATAGGCTGGGGCTTTTTTCCCTGGAGCGTCAGAGATTAAAGGAGTGACCTTCTAGAGGTTTATAAAACCATAAGGGGCATGGATAGAGTGAATAGTCAATGTTTCTTCCCTGTGGTGGGAAAGTCCAAAACTAGAAGACATAGGTTTAAGATGAGAGGGTAAGGATTTAAAAGGACCTGAGGGATAACTTTTTCTCACAGAGGGTGGTGTGTGTATGGAATGAGCTGACAGGAAGTGGTGGAGGTGGGTACAATTACAACATTTGAAAGGCATCTGGATGGGTATATGAATAAGAAGGGTTTAGAAGGATATGGGCCAAATGCTGGCAAATGGAGCTAGGTCAAATTGGGATGTCTGGTTGGCATGGATGAGTTGGACTGAAGGATCTGTTTCCATGCTGTATGACTCTGTGACCAACATTCAATTAGACTAATTGGTCAGAGACAAAATGCTAGAATCTATTATCAAGAAGGATACAGCAGCACACTAACAAAGCCATGTGGACTTTACCTAACTGCATTAGGATTTTGCAAAAGTAAAATTGTGTCTCTCTAATTTACTTGTCACTTCCTCAAAGAATTCTAATAATGTGGATAATGGGGAACCTGTGGATGTAATTATATAGATAATCAAAAATGTGTTTGATACGGTGCCACATCAGCTGTTACTACACAAAGTGAGACGATATGATGTAGGGGCTAACATTTTTTTATGGAGAAAGATTGGATAACTAACAGGAAACAGAGTGTAGGGATGAATGGTCATTTTCTGGTTGGCAAGCTACAACCAGTGGAGTGCCAGGGCATAAGCACTGCGTCTCAACTGTTTGTAACCTAAATAAATGACTTAGATGAAAGAACCAGGTGTATGGTTATGAAACTTGCTGATGCTACAAAGATGGATAGGAAGATAAATTGTGAGGAGGACACAAAGAGTTTTAAAAAGGGATTTAGGTATCTCTGAGTGAGCAAAAAACTTGGCAGATGGAGTATTATTTGAGAAAATGTGCGCTCTCCTACTGTGGCAGGAAGAATTGGAAAGGTTATATTTAAATGGAAGGTTGCAAAACTGGTACAAAAGGATCTGGGTGTTCTGGTACATGAATCACAAAACAATAGCATGCAGGTACAACAAGTAATTAGGAAGGCAAACGGAATGTTATTTATTGGAAAGGGAATTGAATTTAAAAGCAGGGAAGTTTTTGCCGCAGTTGGATAGGGCATTGGCAAGACCACATCTGTAGTGTTGTGCACACAGGTTTGATTTCTATACTTGAGAGACGATATGATAACATTGGAAACAGTTCAGGAAAGGTTTGCTTGGCTTATTCATGGAATAAGGGGTTACTTTATGTGGAGACGTGTATAGGTTCAACCTTGAACGCCTTTGAAGTTTGAAAGAATCCAACACGCAAGATCCTGACAGGAATTGAAATGTGTACCTCTATTTGTAGGGGAGACTAAAACTAAGATCACAATTTAACAATAAAGGTCTCTAACCTAAGATGGAGATGAAGAATTTTTTGACTGTGAGTTGTTAGTGTGCGGATCTCCCTTCCCCTTTGCACTGAAGAGCTGTGGAGGCATTAAGTATTTTCAAGGCTGAACTAAATAGTTTCTTGATTGACAAGTGAGTCAAAGGGTACAAAAAGTAGATAGCGAAGTGGAGCAGAAACTATGATCAAGAAAATTATCTAAGATTGCTCAGACCATTAAGTAAAGGAATTGGGATGTCATGTTGAGGTTGTACAGGTCATTGGTAAGGCCTCTTCTGGACTGCTGTGTACAGTTATGGTTGCCCTGCTGTAGGAATGATATTGTTAAAATGGAGAGGGTTCAGAAAAGATTTACCAACATGTTGCCCAGACTGGAGGGTTTGAGTTATAAGGGGAGGCTGGATAGGCTCGGACATTTTTCACTGGAGCATAGGAGGTTGAGGGGTGACCTTTTGGAGGTTTATAAAATCATGAGGAGCATAGATACAATGAATACTAGAGAACATTTCCCTAGGGTGGAGGAATTTAAAACTAGAGGGCAAATTTTTAAGGTGAGAGGAGAAAGATTTAAAAGGAGCCTGAGGAGCAATTTTGTCACGCAGAGGGTGGTTCATCCATGGAATGAACTGCCAAAGGAAGTGGTTGATGCAGGTACAGTTATAATATTTAAAAGACATTTGAATGGGTACATGAATAGGAATGGTTTCTGGGGATATGGGCCAAACGCTGGCAAGTGGGGCTAGTTTAGTTTGGGAAACTTTGTCTGCATGGACAAAGGGTCTGTTTCTGTGCTGCATGACTCTGACAGATCAGTTATGATCTTGTCAAATGGCAGAACATGCTGAAAGAGCCAAATGGCCTCGGCCTCTGAGCTCTTATCTTTATATGCTCAATCTATGAGTGAGTGTGCACACTTAATGGAAAAGCACTGAAGGATTTGGATGAACATAGTGAAATAGGAGTTCAAATGCAAAATTACTTGAAAATTACCAACCAGGTAGATAAAATAGTTGAACAGTTCTGGCGAATTTTATATTTTGTAGATGTGGAGTATAGTCGGAGAGTGAAAAGTAATGATGAATTTACATGATTTGTCTTATCCAGCTTTTGGATACGGTTTTATAAACCAAGGCTGTTCCCTCTCAGTTGGCATAAAAAAAACTCATTGCAGCCTCTTGATGAAGAGAAAGGGATTTCTTGACAGTGTCCTGACCACTATTAATCACAGCCAAATATCAACAAAACTTCACAGTTCAAAAAATATGATATCAGATACATAGGCCATGCGCCTCTATGATTAGCTGACTGAAGTAGCCAATGCTTACAAACCTAAAATGAACCATGTACAGCTTGTCTAAACAACCATCTATTGTGATTCTGCAATTGGGCAGCATTTGCTGAATAATTCTGAGAGCATTCTCAGCTGTACAAACAATCTTAGCCTCCTCCAGTGGTCCCCAGCATTACAGATATCAGTCTTCGGCCAATTTGATTCACTCCACGTGATATCAAGAAACGGTTGGAGACATCAGATACTGCAAAGGCCACAGGCCCTGACAGCTTTCCAGCACAAGTACTGAAGACCCGTGCTCCAGAACTTGCCACTCCCCGAGCCAAGCTGTTCCAGTTCATTTATAGCACTGTTAATTGGGGGCACGGTGGCTCATTGGTTAGACTGCTGCCTCAGAGCGCCAGGGACCCAGGTTCAATTCCACCGTCATGCAACTGTCTGTGTGGAGTTTGCACATTCTCCCCGTGTCTGTGTGGGTTTCCTCCAGGTGCTCCAGTTTCCCCTCTCAGTCCAAAAATGTGCCGGGTAGGTGGATTAGCCATGCTAAATTGCCCATAATGTCCAGGGATGTTTAGGTTAGGTGGGTTAGACAAGTGGGTAGGGGAATGGGTCTGGGTGGGATGCGCCTCAGAGGGGCGGTGTGGACTTGTTGGACCAAATGGCCTGTTTCCACACTGTAGGAACTCTCTGATTCTGTATCTACCCGACAATTTGGAAAATTGCCCAAGTATGTTGTGTACACAAAAAGCAGGGCAAATCCAATCCAGCCAATTACCACCCCATCAATCTACTGTCAACCATCAGTAATGTGATGGAAGGTGTCATCACTAGTGCTATCAAACAGCACCTGCTCAGCAATAACCTGCTCAGTGACGTCCAGTTTGGGTTGCGCCAGGGCCACTCAGCTCCTGACCTCATTACAGCCTTGGCTCAAACATGGACAAAAGAGCTGAATTCCAGAGGTGAGGTGAGAGTGACAGCCCTTGCCATCAAGGCTGCAGTTGACAGACTGTGGCATCAAAGAGCCCTAGCAAAAATGGGTATTGGAGTCAAACTCTTGGAGTCATACCTGACACATAGGAAGATGTTTGTGGTTGTTGGAGGTCTGTCATCTCAGTTCCAGGACATCTCTGCAGGAGTTCCTCAGGTAGTGTCCTCAGCCCAACCATCTTCAGCTGCTTCATCAATGACCTTCCCTCCGTCATAACATCAGATGTTCTCTGATGATTTGACATTGACCTGCACCATTTATGACTCCACCGATAAAGAAGCAAGACCTGGGTAATATCTAGCCTTGGGCTGACAAGTGGCAAGTAACATTCATGCCACCCAAATGGCAGGCAATGACCATCATCAAAACACAGACAATCTAACCACTGCCCCTTGACATTCAATGGTGTTACCATCACTGAATCCCCCACTATTAACATCCTGGGTGTTATCATTGACCAGAAACTCAACTGGACTCATCATATAAAAACACTGGCTACAAGATCAGGTCAGAAGCTCGGAATACTGTGGCAAGTAATTCACCTCCTGACTCCTCAAAGCCTGTCCAACATCTACAAGGCACAAGTCAGGAGTGTAGTGGAATACTCCCCACTTGCCTGGATGAGTACAGCCCATCAACACTCAAGAAGCTTGACACCATCCAGGACAAAGCAGCCCGCTTGATTGGCACTACATCCACAAACATCCACTCCCTCCACCACTGACACTCAGTAGCAGCAGTGTGTACTATGTACAAGATGCACTGCAGAAATTCACCAAAGATCCTCAGACCGTACCTTCCAAACCCATGATCACTTCCATCTGGAAGGACAAGGACAGCAGACATATGGGAACGCCACCACCTTCAAGTTCCGCTCCAAGCTATTTACCATGATGACTAGGAAATATATCGTCATTCCGTCGCTGTCACTGGATCAGAATCCTGGAATTCTCTCCCTAGTGGCATTGTGGGTCAACCCACAGCCAGTGGACTGCAGTGGTTCATGAAGGCAACTCACCACCACCTTTTCGAGGCCACCTAGGGATAGGCAAGCCAGCGATGCCCATATCCCATAAATGAATCTTAAAAAATGTGAAACCAGTTTAAGATAATCATCAAGCTGTATATCATGGCTCATTTACAATTGCTAGCAGCAAGAGCGGGGACATGTTCTTTGCAGACAAAAAGATGATGTTCAAACCTTGTCTCCTTATTGAATCATTCAGGAATCTGCATTATCTATAATTTCCCTTGCTTTGTCTGTGGCAATGCTTCAACCAATCAAGGTTAACATACCAACCCTGTTTCTCTAGTAGTATAAATTGCTGTGAGTGTTTGAAATTTGAAATTCGACATTTGCCCCTATGAGTGCAAGACAGACAGTTCAGCAACAAGCCTTTCTTTTCAGTAAGATTCACATTCTGAACTGCCCAGCAAATGAACTAATTCAAAGATATTTTCTTTTTCAGACATTGCAGTGGAACTGCTTCAGAAATCAGCACCAAGTCCTATTCGAAAACTCCGGAAGAAATATGCAGCTCACGTGGCTAGGTATATTTACACGTTACGTTGCAGTACTGTAGTAATTGTTTTTTTGCATAATAGGGCCTGAGAGTTGCTTGAATTACCAATAGGATCGAACTTGTTTTCCAACCGTAGTTGAAAGTCCTGAGTAGTGCACATATTGTCCTCGACTCTGTCATGTATTTCTTGGAATATATCTTTTCGAATTGGAGAATTTGTATCAGAGAGAAGTTACAGGAGATAAAAGTTGGAGAGGTGTCAAGGGCAGTATGGAGTTGGCTATTCAATGGCTAGGATTGGATTCTCCTCCAAAACTGCCTTATGCAAGATTTTTTTTATTTTACTTAGTTCTGGGATCTATGTTTTCGTAACGCAAGATATATTGTCCATCCCTGATTACCCCAGAAGGATGGTTGTGGCCTTATCTTTGAACATTCTAGCTTTGCTAGATTTGATATTTTCATCAAATAAGTGGAGCTACCGGACAAAAAGTTTGAAATTCCATTGAAAATCATGAACAAAATGATGAATTTTTTTTATTGCAAACAAAAATCCCTGTGTCCTAACACAATCTGCAGTAGAAATTAATTCATTCAGTCAAGTGAAACATGACTGGTGAGAATAAACAGTTCATTTGTTATCAGCTTCAAGCTTAATATTGTTTCCAAATTTTGCATAAAGCTGGACTTTAAGATCTGATTACATCTGTTGAATTCTCTCCACAGGTCTGCAAATCCTGGATCTCATCTAGGAGGCTTTGATTTGTAGACATTCTAGCTTTGAAGACGCTTCAGTTTAGAGTCTAGAGCATTACCGAGCTGTAAAATATCTGAAATAATGCATGGCCATTAACTGCACTGACCGTATTGAAATTTATTACTGATATTGATAATTCAGTATGATTTAAAGTAGTCTGTAAATCTGTCATTTTCTGTCTATTTCCCAAGCCTAGTCACTACCTAATGTACAATCATCAGTGTGCAGTCAAAACCTATGAGGATTAATGATGTCTGCCTTTTCCACAGGGAAGCCTGTATCTCGCCTTGTGCAATGATGCTTGCTCTCGTCTACATTGAACGGCTACGACATCGAAATCCGGAGTACCTGCAGCAGATCTCCTCATCTGATCTTTTTCTAATATCCATGGTGAGTGAGACAATGACTTCACTCTGTCTTTGTGGTTTCAGACGATGATTGAGATCCACTTAGAAACATATAGTGTCTTTCATAAATCTGGGATACCCCTAAGCCCTTCACAGCTAATGAAGAACTTTTGAGATATTGTCAATGGTGTAATACAGGAGCCAGTGCAGCTAGTTTGCACATAAGCTCCCACAACAGCAATATGCTCCTTACCAGATAAACTCTACTAGGGACAAGGATTGAGGGATAAAAATTGACTAGATCATCAGAGATGATGCCCATGTTATAGAGTCAGATATACAGCACGGAAACAGACCCTTTGGTCCAACTGCTGACCAGATATCCTAAATTAATTTAATCCCATTTGCCGCATTTGGCCCATATCCCTCTAAACCCTTTTTATTCATGAACCCACTCAGATACCTTTTAAATGCTTTAATTGTACCAGCCTCCTCCACTTCCTCTGGCAGCTCATTTCAGACACGCATGAAAAAGTTGTTACTTAGGTGCCTTTTAAATCTTTCCCCTCTCACCTTAAACCTATGCCCTCTAGTTTTGGACTCCTCTACCCTGGGGAAATGACCTTGACAATTCACCCTATCCATGCCCCTTCTATAAGGAGACCTCTCAGCCTCTGACACTCCAAGGAAAATAACCATGTCCTATTCAGCTTCTCCCTAGGGCTCTCCAACCCCAGCAATGTCCTTGTAAATCTTTTCTGCATCCTTTCAAGCTCCACAACATCCTTCCTGTAGCAGGGAGACTAGAATTGTCCTTTGAAATAGTGCTGTGCAACCTTTTGCAGCCACCTGAGAGGACAGATGGGGCCTCTGTTTTCATTCCCCCCCCCCACCACCACCACCACTTAGTACTGCAGTGAAGCTTAGATTTTTGTCTTGACGTTGAAGTTCTCATTGGTGCATCTGAGCAGCAAGAGTTTTTAACCTGTTCAGCATACCTGCAGCTTTGCTCTTTCATTGATGGTGTTAGTTTGTGGCAATGATTCTGCTATATGTCCTGTTCCCCACCACAGCTCTAACTCCAGATCCTCCAAGATCAAATGAATCAGGAATTTACTCTATTCTTCTGTCCTTTTGTTACCAACCGTCCTCATTATGGAAACAGGAAACCATTTTCTACATCAACTCCCTGAAAACTTTTCATAATATTGAATAGTTTTTCAAAGTAATTAACTGTATAGGACAAATGCTGCAATGTTTCCAAGACATGAGATAAGGCAGTATATGATTATAAATTATACCTTCACTACTTCAGCAAATGCTTGAAACTGATCATGGTCTATTAAAAAGGATCCTGACTGATTCAGAGAGTCATACAGTATGGAAACTGACCCCGTTAGGCCCAACATGTCCATGCCAAACATAATCCCAACTAAATTAGTCCTACCTGCCTAGTCTCGACCTCCAATAATTTCTTACTGATGTACTTGTCTAAATGTCTTTTAAATGTTGTAACTGCCCACACCTACTACTTTCCCTGTTTTAAAAAAAAGTTTCCCCTGACATATTTTCAAATTTTTTCTTCTCACCATTAAAATATGCCCCATAGTCTTGAAATCCCCCACCCTAGGGAAAAGATACCTGCTATTCACCTTATCAATACCCCTTATGATTTTATAAACCTCTATATTGTCACCCCTCAACCTCCTACACTCTAGTGAAAAAAGTCCTAGCCTATCCAGCCCCTCTGACTCTATGACTCATGCAATCATAAAGAAAGGAACAAACCTTTTGGCCCAACTCATCCATGCCAACGAGGTTTCCTAACTTGAACTAGTCCCATTTGCCTGCATTTGGCCCAAATCCCTCTAAATTTTTCCTATCCATGTACCTGTCCAAATGTCTTTTTAAATGTTGTAATTGTATCCACCATACCACTTTCTCTGGCACCTCACTCCATACATGCACCACCCTCTATGTGAAAAAGTTGCCTGTTGGGTCCTTTTTAAATCTTTCCCCTCTCACCTTCGACTTATGCCCTCTAGTTTTGGACTCCACTACCCTGGGAAAAAGACCTTGGCAATTATTGATACTATCTTTTTCTTTATTTATTTCAATCAGTTTAATTTATTTTCCCCAACTGTCATGAGATTTGTCTCGAGATAGTTCAGGCTCCTAGATTACTAGCCCAGTAACATAACCACTATTCTACCACTCCACAGCCTAAACCCAAGGACCATATTGTTTTGAACATGTTTAGTGCATGATTGGATTAACCAATGACTCATGAACCACCAGTTTAGTCATAATCAGTGAAGGATTATACGGTAGAGCAAGGCCATTCCTTGAGCTGTTATCTGACAGACTTCTCACTAAACCCTTTTCTGTCCGTTCTTTCCATTCTGAACTTCGAGTCAAAAGGAACAAGAGTTGAAAATGCAGACTCCAATGTTGATCCATAATCTAACACCATATAATCACCTTTCTTCCCCATACCCACCTACCTTTTACTTTGCAAAATATCAATCTCAGACAACTGACTTAGCATTAATTGCCATTTGCAGAAGAGAATTCCAATTTTGTATCACCTTTTTGCATAAAGAAATGACCCTTAATTTCATTCCTGATCTGGTCTGGCTCTCCTTTTTAAACTCTTCCTCTAGACTCTGCAACCAATTCATTTTTTCTGCCAAAAGGCTCATCAAGGACGTTGTCACTTTGTCCCACCGAGGACTTTGTTAGGTCCATCCCTTCTCATTGTCCAAACTTATTCAAATGCCCAAGGCCTTCTTTCAAATTTCTTTCTGATCATGAACTTACAATCCTAGCTCAACTTGTCCACGAGACCCAAGCTCTGCTCCATGGGCCTCCATCCCCAATAGGTGATGAACTTTAAATCCCCCCCATCCTTGACTCTGTCAACTCCCCAATTTAACAACCTTTCATTAAAATATAATACAATAATCAACTGGCAACACCACACGAAATTCCTGTCTTGGCAACTCCAGAGACTCAACCAGCTTGGCTGAGGGAACACTTAAACAGAAATAAAATGCTGTGGATGCTGGAAATCTGAAACAAGCACAGAGAATGCTGAAGAAACTCTGAATGTCTGGCAGCATCTGTGGAGAGAGAAACAGAGTAACATTTTGAATCTGATATGACTCTTCCTCAGAACTTTTCTGTAGCATTTATTGTGTTTGCTACTGAGGTGACTGATTCCCCTGAAATAAAAACTTGATTGTTATAAATGGAGATGTTGAACTGCCTGCTCTTAAGTCAAAACTGAAGTAGTGATCTGATTGTGTTTATTCAATCTGTCACAAACTCAACAGTATAAACATTTATCCATTTAACATTGCACTTAACTGCAACTACACTTAGGTCATGATCCAAATAACTGATCAATTTCAAAAAAAAATTCTTCACAAAACCGAACTGATTCACATCCATCCGCCTCTATTTTAAAATCCAAATTTCAAAATAAAATATATGTTGCACATCTTTTATCACACTTATAACTGAGAGAGTTCAGAACTTTGTTTCAATGGGCAATATTATATTTAGCCGTTATTCCTAATCTTTCCCTATTAGTGTTTGTTTTCAAGCTTCTTTCGACTTTCTTGCAGATGGTTGCCAGTAAATACTTGTATGATGAAGGAGAAGAGGAAGAGGTGTTTAATGACGAGTGGGGAGCCGCAGGCAAGCTGGACGTTCAAGTGGTCAACACGTTGGAGATGAACTTTCTGCGAGCAATTGTAAGTTATCTGAACTGTCCATTCAGTGGAATTATGATATTGGAAATCTTGTACATACAGTTAATGTTATGCTCAAAACATCTTACCTGACTTGCTAGGCTTTGCTACGTGACATACAGCATAGCCATTTTGCCACCATTTGGTCACAAGAGGCCTGGTGTAACAACTTAATGGTGTGGAGCTTCCAGTATAGTACCAGTCAGAGCTGGGCCAAGAGCGCTGTTGTCCTGTGTAACCCATTTGGGCTTGCTGTTTGCAAGTCTGTGTATCAGCAGCAGATCCTTATGAAACTTTAATAATTGGTTCTAAGCACTGTTTGGGAACAAGGATCAGTAGACAATCTGAATGAATTCTTGTGATCACATGGAGTCACAAAATAATACACAGGAAACAAAAACCATTGTGCTTGTTCCCAGTTCTTACTCCCTTGCTTTTTCTTTGCAACCATGTAATTTTCCTACAAATATTTTATTAAATTTAATTGTAGAAGTTACAATCAAATATTCTACCTCCACCCGTTCAAGCAACACGTTCTAGATTACACACCACACATATTTTTAAAAAAGAGTTTCCTCACTTCACCTCTGATTCTTTTGCCACTTCCTTAAATCTGTGTCCATGTTTCAGTCCTTCCGCCACTGGCACAATTACCTCCCTGTTGACTATACAAATTCAGGATTTAGAACAGTTCTGAACAGGTCTTCTCCAAATCTTTGATGCTTTGAAGAGAACAATCCTAGTTTCTCAAAGTTAAAAAACAGAAATTGCTGGAAAAACTCAACAGGTCTGGCAGCATCTATGGAGAGAAAGCAAGTTATATATAAATATATGCTAAAGAAGGGGTGGGAGGAGGGGGATGGAGTAAACGATAGATGGAGATGGAGCCCAGAGAGAGAACGATAGTTGGGCAGACAAAGGAATAAGTAAAGGTCAGTCTGGGAGAATAGACAGCTGCTAATGGGAGCTGTTAGTGGCTAACAATGGGTTGTTACTGGTAGCAGCCTATGTGATGACAAGGCCTGGTGTGTGGGAGTTAGGGTAAGGACGTGGAGATGTGTGTTTAGGCCGTAACATTTCAACACTTTAGGTCAATGTACTTTCAGCAGGTCAGTGAGACTCAGTGAATTTTTACTCAGTTTGTTCTCAAGCGACTGCTGACCAACTAATTTGGAGGTTGAGCTAAAGTAATTACAAAAAGATATGTGATCATTGATAGAGGTTTATAAAATTATGGGGAGCACGGATAGGGTGAATAGCCATTGCCTCTTTTCCAGGGTAGGGGAGTCCAGAACTCGAGGGCATAGGTTTAAGGTGATAAGGGAAATATTTTAAAAAGTCCTGAGGCATAATGTTTTCGCACAGAGAGTGATACGTGTATGGAATGAGCTGCCAGAGGGATTGATGGAGGTGGGTACAATTACAACGTTTAAAAGGCATCTGGATGGATATATGAATTGGAAGGGTTTAGAGGGATATGGGCCAAATGCTGGCAAATGGGACAATGGGATGTCTGGTTGGCATGGATGAGTTGGATCGAAGGGTCTGTTCCCATGCTGTACAACTGTATGACTCTGTGACTTTAGAATTTTGACTTAAAAGTGACCTTACTTCTTTGGTCTGCAAGCTGAGAGTCTCCCCATATCCCGAACAAGTAGGATGATTTGCAGGTCTCAGGCCTCAGCCTGTGTTGAATTGTGGAAGCCTTTGCTTGCTATGAAACTAAAAAACTATGTTCCTTACCATGTGAGAAGTGTCACCAGGCAAAAATTAAGTTCCAAATTGAAGGTCTCCCAGTAACTTGGGAAGTTGTTTTAGAAAAACACATCAGTGCACAATCTCTTTTTAACTTGAACAAGGCACATTCTTCCCTAGGTCATATTTCCCTTTTGATTAGAGTTGACTTTTTTCAATCAATAAACTATATTAAGTTTCTTGTGTTTGTTGTACTGTGGATTAAAGATGCTGCTAGATATCCAACAGGTGAAAGGTTGAAAAAGGGGCTTATGGGTTAGATATCTGCACAGTGACAATTGATCTAAAGGTTTATCTCCTGTTTATGCTGCAGGATTGGAACTTGTACGTAAATACCCAGGAATTCTTTGAGCTTTTGAGTCGACTGGAGGGAAGGTGAGTCCAGGGAGTTGGTGAGAAGCGCTTGCTTTGATGTAAATTGTGTTCTGAAGCTGCAATCTGTAGTAGTAATATGAAAAGTAATAGGAAGTCATATATTAGCAAAACCTACTGTCCTGTTGTCATAGGACTTTTAGTAGGTTATGTAGATAAACTCTGATTTTGGATGTTGTGCATTGGTGTTGCCCAATATAATTTTAGCCGTGTGTGTATTTGTTTTAATTCACTTGGGATGTGGGTGTCGCTGGCTGGCCAGCCTTTATTGCCTGTTCACAGTTGCCAGTGACATAAAACACACCTACCACCATTCAGCAACCAATGATGTAAATTAGTACTGTACCACAATTAACATTGGCCTTGTCTTCTTACTCTTGGCGCGATGATGGCCTAGAATATTATTGTTAGGCTATTAATCCAGAGACCCAGGTAAAGTTTTGGGGGCCGGGGTTTGAATCCCGCCATGGTAGATGATGGAATTTGAATTCAATAAAAATCTGGAATTAAGAATCTAATGACAACCATGAAATTATTGTCGATTGTCAGGAAAAACTCAGCTGGTTCACTGTTGCCCTTTGGGGACGGAAACTGCTTTCCTTTCTTGGTCTTGCTTACATGTGACTCCAGATTCACGTCCTATGAATGAATAAAAACAAAGCTAAATAAATACTCAAGATGGTTGTTTGCCATGCATAGACCATGTGAATGAATAATGAGATTATTGTCCAATGGCAGTGTCATTCCCTGATTTTAATTAAATTCAGTTTGCTACATCCGAATTTCCAATTAGCTAAATGTCTAATACAGTAGCCACTGGCTACAAAATTATGTATTGTAGACTGCCACCAGATCATTTGGTGATTTCAGAATTGGTTTTGAGTTTCCTCCCTTCCAACAGTCACTACCGTGTAAAAGTGGTTCATTGGCTGTAAATCTCCAAAGAAACGTAACAAATAGGAGCTGGAGTAAGGCGTGCAGTCTCTCCAGCCTGCTCTGTTACTCATTCAATGAAATCATAATTGGTCTTCTCCTTCCCTGCTGTTATCCCTGTACTTCTTGATTTCCTTTGAGTCCAAAATGCTATCGATTGCAGTCTTTAATGTATTCAATGATTATATTCATTCCCAGCCACGTAGGGTAATGAAATCCCAATATTACAACCCTCCAAGTGAAGAAATTTCACCTCATCAATCAGAAATGATCAACCTTTTATCTTCAGGCTTTGACCCCCTAGTTCTAGAGCCTATAGCCAAGGAAGACAGCTTCTCAGCATCTTAACATTAAATATCAATTCACATTTTCTTTCACACACCATAATTTTAACACTGCTGACAGTCATGAGAGAAAACAGACATTACCCACTGTAAGAAGAATTTCAGTATTGTCAGCAGCAGCACATACAAGGCATCAAATGAGAGCCTGCACTGAACCTTGGGCTATGAATGGTACAAGTACAATATTTGCATTTGTTGTTCCTCTGATGGGAGGTTTTTGCTTCAACTAGCTATTTGTGGAGCTGCTTCTGAGCATAAACTCCTAACTGAAGCACAGGAGCAAAAGAAAATCCATTATTGCAGATATTTGTGTTTGTAATATTCAATCCGATATAGTGGAAATTAAATAAGATTTTATAAAAGGGAGTTACAACAGGACTAAGATGACACAAACACAGAGAATGCTAGAGAAAGGCAGCAGGTCTAGCAGTATCTGTGGCAAGAGAAACAGAATTAACATTTTAAATCTAGTGTGACATACCAGACTAGAAGCATAAACTGTTTCTCTCTCCACAGATGCTGTCAGACCTGCTGAGTTGCTTCAGTATTCTGCGTTTGTTTCAGATTTCTAGTATCTGCAGTATTTTAGTTTTATTTGAGTGTACAGTCTTACTGTAATCACCTGAGATTGTTATGGACTGTTAGCAAGCTCCTCTGACTCATTCTCTTTAGAACGGTCACTAAACAGCAAAACATTGTATGCCCTACCGAGCACTTTAATTTTTAATCTGTTCCTCCGTGTTCTGCAGAGTTGCTGAGTCGCAAGGACTGAAACGAGGCTGGTTTACGTACACAGACCTGTGTGTAATACTGGAACAGGCACTGTGGCAACAGGCGTTTACCGAACTCTACCAGCATGTTATTAAGGTAGTGTGCATTTACACCCTTATTACTAATTTGATCTTTTGTCAAAGGGGAAGAAGCTGCAGTGAAACAAGGTGCACACATTCATTGACATTTAATAACAAAGTTTCCCCATAAGACAACTAACTGCAGTGCAGGCAGTCCTAGATCTACCACAGGTGTATGATGAAGTCCGAAGACATGCTGTAACCACATTTTTACTTTAGTTGAGCATACTGTTGGGACATGGATAATGCTGGCACTACAGTGCTTCATGGAGTCACCCCGAAACCTTTGTCAGTTTACAGCAGTCTGATAGTTCCATGGTTATTTTTCTGGAGCGCAGTGAAAAATTATTTGATACAATATCCCAAGTTGTCGCAGTGAGGTTCAAAGCCCTGGCATCTAGAGTGCTAGTCCAGATCCATGGTCACTCTGGATGGGTATCCTTCTGGACAAAGCTGGATCAGGACACTTGATCAGATTCAAATATGTGCCCATTATCCTCCTCAAAATCTTCATCCATGATAAAATGTCAAGAAAGAAAGAGGCCGTCCATTCCAGTGATCCCATTGGAAACTTGGTATTAAAGCACCTATCTGGGTGGGTACCTGGTTTTAAAAAAGCTGACTTCCACTTTGTCCAATATGAAAAGACAAAGGTGACTTTTCACAAAATTCCCACAGTGTCCCTCGTTTCCCAGTATTATCAGAGCTACGTTAATGCAAAGTAGTGGTTATATCACTCGACTAATAATTAAGGCTAAATCTCTGGGGGTGCAGGTTCAAAATTCACCATGAAACTGGTAGAATTTGTCATAGAATCATAGAGTCCCTACAGTGTGAAACCCATCAAGTTCACACCGACCCTCTAAGAGCATCCCACCCAGACCCATCCCTTTACCCTATCCCTGTAACCCAGCATTTCCCATGTCTAACCCACCTAATCTACACATCCCTGGATACTATGGGCAATTTAGCATCGCCAGTCCACCTAACCTGCATGTATTTGGACTGTGGGAGGAAACTCACGCAGTCTCGAGGAGAATATGTGATCTCCACACAGACATTTGCCCGAAGCCGGAATCAAACCAGGGTCCCTGGTGCTGTGAGGTAGCAGTGCTAACCACTGAGTTCCTATATTAGTATAAATTAATTTTTAAAAAAGTAGAATTGAAAGCTAGCCTCTAATGATAAGCATGAAATGACCATTGATTGTCACAAAAACCCATCTGGTTCATTCATGTCCATTAGGAAGGAAAATCTGCCATCCTCATGTGGCCTGACCTACATATGACTGTAGACCCACAGCAATGTGGTTCACTCCTCGCTGTCCTCTGAAATGGCTCGAAGTCACCCACTTCGTGGGCATTTGGGGATGAGTGGGTGACTGTGTCATTTGAACATCTGTTTGGAGGACTGGTCTTCTCCAGGACACAGCCCATCAAAGACTTAAAAAAAACAAATGAGAGTTCCTATGTCCTGGAGAAGACCAGCCCTCCAAACACATGTTCAAATGTCCCTGAATTTTAGGTAGAAGAAAGATGCTGTGTTTCTTTCCACACCTCTTCATAAGTTACTTCAGCTGGTATCTTGTCCAGCTGTAACAATGGCTTTTTGCCACAGTTCCTAAAGTGTGGATTATAGAATCATAGAGTCACACAGCATGGAAACAGATTCTTTGGTGTAACTTGTCCACGTCAACCAGACATAGTCCCATTTGCCAGCATTGGCCCATATCCCTCAAAACTCTTGCTTTTCATCCACCCATCCAGATGGATTCACGGTCATCGTTAGATCTTCAATTTCAGATATTTTATTGAATTCAAATTCCACCATCTGCCATGGTGGGATTTGAACCCGGGTCCCCAGAATGTTATCTGGGAAATGTCAGACATATGAGGAGAGATTGACTAGGTTGGGATTATTTTCGCTAGAGTTCAGATGAATGAGGGGGCATGTCATAGAGACTTATAAAATTCTAACAAGACTGGACAGGGTAGATTCGGGGAGGATGTTCCCGATAGTGGGTGTGTCCAGAACCAGGGGTCACAGTATGAGGATTCGGGGTAGACGATTTAGGACGGAGATGAGGAGATATTCCTTCACCCAAAGAGTGGTGAGACTGTGGAATTCATTGCCACAGGAAGTAGTTGATGCCAAACCATTGAATGTATTCAAGAGATGACTAGATATAGCACTTGGGGTGAATGGGATCAAAGGTTATGGGGAGAAAGCAGGATTCGGCTATTGAGTTGAACGATCAGCCATGATTGTGAAGAATGGTGGAGCACGCTTGAAGGGCCAAATGGCCTCCCCTTACTCCATCTTCTGTGTTTCTATGTCTCCTACCTTCAAGCCAATTTTGTATCCAGTTGACTAGCTCTCCCTGGATCCCATGTGATCTAACTTTATTTACATAAGAACATAAGAACTAGGAGCAGGAGTAGGCCATCTGGCCCCTCGAGCCATTTAATAAGATCATGGCTGATCTTTGAGACTCAGCTCCACTTACCGCCCACTCACCATAACCCTTAATTCCTTTACTGTTCAAAAATTTACCTAGCCTTGCCTTAAACACATTCAGTGAGGTAGCTTCAACCGCTTCACTGGGCAGGGAATTCCACAGATTCACAACCCTTTGGGTGAAGAAGTTCCTCCTGACCTCAGTCCTACATCTGCTTCCATTTATTTTGAGGCGATGCCCTCTAGTCCTAGTTTCACCTGCTAGCGGAAACAACCTCCCTGCCTCCACCTTATCTATTCCCTTCATAATCTTATATGTTTCTATAAGATCTCCCCTCATTCTTCTGAATTCCAATGAGTATAATCCCAGTCTACTCAGTCTCTCCTCATAATCCAACCCTCTCAACTCTGGAATCAACAGTCTACTGTGCAGAACCTTATCAAACGCTTTGCTGAAGTCCATATATACAATGTCTACTGTTCTTGTCACCTCAATCTTCTTTGTCACCTCTTCAAAAAAACTCGATCCAGTCAGTGAGACATAATTTCCCACGCACAAAACCATGTTGATTATCCCAAATCAGTCCTTGCCTTTCCAAATGCATGTAAATCCTGTCCCTCAGAATCTCCTCCAACAACTTACCCACCACTGATGTAAGACTTACCTGTTTATAGTTTCCTAGTTTTTCCTTACAACTTTTCCTAAATAATGGCACCACAGTAGCCAACCTCCTGTCTTCTGGCACCTTACTTGCGACTGCCGTTTATACAAATATCTCAGCAAGGGACCCAGCAATATCTTTACTAGCTTCCCATAAAGTACATCTGATCATGTTCCAGGGATTTATCTACCTTTATGCGTTTTAAGACCTCTAGCACCTCCTCCTCTGTGATACAGAACTCTTTTCAAGATGTCACTATATATTTTCCAAGTTCCCTGGCTTCCATGTCTGAATGCTTATATTTGGTGTTGTGAGCTTCTCCTTCTCAATGGCAACAATGGCTATTGTGGGGAGGAAACTGCTTCGTCTGGAGGCTGTGGCTCCACCCTCCTGGATCCTCCACATTAAGGTTGCTGAACAGTACAAGCCCAAAATCCCTAACTTTGCAATCCACTGTCTGCTCAGGTTGCCTGCATGCCAAAATCGTGCAGGCAGAGGCTGATAAACATAGCTCGAAAGTCACTGAGTGGGTGAAGGAAAAAGCACAAGGCAAAGTGGTTGAGCTGGGAAGCTGAATGGTGGCTTCTATCAGACTATTGTACACACTGTGCTTTACAGGCACTGGAAACTACCTCCCAAAGGGCAAGAAGGGCAAGTGTGTATGTGTGAGAAGGAGGGGCCTGATAAGAGTGTGGGGAGGAGGGCCTGCCAAGTGAGTGACATTTGCAGTAGAGGTCACTGAATGAACAAGTGGAGGGATTTTGAGAAAGAGCCAACTGTGGTGAAAGTTTGATGAGAGAGGCTGCTGAGTGAATGAGTGGGGAATGGTTGGGGTGACAGACTGCCATTTGGGAACAGGCTGTTATGAGAGTGGCAGGGGATTGGGAAGAGGGACCCATGAGAGAGAGTGATTGAGTGAGTGGAGGTGTTTGGGAACTATGATGCTGAGTAAGAGTCTGTGGAGGCAGGACATTTGAGAAGAGGAGTGTGTCTCTCTATGTCTATGTGCATGCATAGTAGGGGGATGGATACCATACGAGGTTATGGGTTGCCTGTTGGAAAGGGCCTGCACTATCTTCTGTCATTGGGCAATATGGCAGAAACCTACAGGAGTACATAAATTAATAAAATTGTTACAAGTACTTTAAAATGTTCATATATATATATATATCTGATGAATTGAAAATTTTCAGTAATGATATTCTGAATGCTTTTGGGCTGCTTTATTTCTGCTTTGTGCTTGCTCATGCCTGGAATCACTTTAATTTTCACATGTTAAAATGGCATTACATTGGAAGATAGTTTTGGGCAAGACTGACAAGTTGGTTATGTTACTGACACAGAAATCCACAGGCTGGAGTTAATGACCTAGGAGCAAGTTCAAATCCAACTGCAGCAGACGGGGAAATGTAAATTCAACCCATTAAATTTTTAAATTATTCTTTCTGGGATGTGGGCATCACTGGCTGTGCCAACATATATTGCCCGTCCCTAGCTGCCCTTTGAGAAGGTGGTGGTGAGCTGACTTCTTGAGCCGCTGTAGTCCATGTGCTGTAAATTGAACCACAATGCTGTGAGTTCCATGATTTTAGTATGTAGAATTAAATGTCAATAATCGTTACAGTGATAACATGAGCAAAATCCTATCCAGTTCACTAATGCCCTTTGGGAGGGAAAATCTGCCAACCTTAACCTGTGTGACATGTGTAAGTGACTCCAGATCCATGGCAATGTGGCCGACTCTTAATTGTCTTCTAAAGTCGGTGTAATTACTCCAAATACTGAAATGACTGTGAGCTCCTGTACACACGCAGCCAGAGCCAGTGACGTCAACTGGCCATGCTAAGCTTCAGCATGTGTTTGCATATGAGCTGTTGATGTCATTTTGCCAGAAGCG